TGCATAATGGGTCTCGACGAGAATATGTAACCAAATACAGATATCTAGACTTTGAGGTCACATTACTTGGACCTGTCGTAACGAGACTTTGTCGCCAATACAAAGAAAGGCTGAGGTCAATATCCTCAGGCAAGCCCATTCAAACCCCTGCACAGAAGTCCTCCAAACTTTCCTCAGTATTGGCGAACATCCCTCTGGATGGATAAAAAAAAATTGGAACTAACCTCCGTATGAACCAGCTACATGACACTTCCCCGCTCCATTGGATGTTACCCTATTCCAAACTATCATCCCTCCATTTCTCCTCAAAAAAACTTCTTAAATCACAACCAAAGCTTCACCTTGAAGCCGAACAGGATACCTCAAACTGTATTGATAATTTAGTCGCACTGCAAACTCTTTCACATATTATTTATGTTGATGGTTTTGTTCACCAATCCAGGGGTGCAGCTGGTAGTGCTGCTGTTGTCATACAGTGATGGCTCATAAAGAAATTGGAGCATGCATCTATAACTGGGCCGTTACTCCTGGCACTCAAATGCGTCCATGTATCGAACGTTGACAGTTTAATTGTAACTGATTCTATATCATCCATAAATGCTCTCTGCTCATTAAGTATAAATTGTGGCATGCTTGTGTCAGAAGCCAGACATAGGTATGGTAAGATTGTGGAAAGCGGAGTCAGAGTGCACATGCTGTGGATTCCATCTCACATTGGTCTTCAGATACATGATAGAACTGATGAATTGGCTAAATTATATATATGCTTTCAAAGAGAGAGTAGATTATAATCTTGGCTTGTCAGTTACCAGTTTGAGAACAGTAATACGAGAACTTCAACTTAAGGCTGAAGGAGACCGACACCAGTCAGTCCATCTATCATCATTCTATCATGCAGGAGGAGCCACATGTCTATGGTGCATCCAACAAGATAAGCAGACTCTTGGATGTCACTACCGCCCGGCTCTGGCTGGGTTACATGTATCTTTGGTAGGTTAAATCACCACCACCAGATGTAGACCAAACGAAATGTAAACTTTGCCAGATGGACTATTGTCACACCTTGAGTCATTATGCGACAAAATTAATAATTCAGAGACAACTCACTCAGAAATGTTCAAGATATGTCAAAGTATTTTATAGACAGTAGTATATTACAAGCCATTCTGGAAAATTACCCTGACTTTGTTCACAGTAAATAAGCATTACCACTGTGTGTACTCACCTGTTTGTGGTTGCAGAGGTCGAGTCATAGCTCCTGGCTCCTGGCGTGTGTGTGTGTTTGTGTGTAACCCTGTTAATATTTGCATTAATAACTCATTACAATTGTGATCAGGCATAGACGTGTGAATGGTTCACCACCTCAGTAACTTGCCAGCTATTAAAACTTTGTGATCTAGTCCCTGGACCCATTATGTACCTCTGTAATCTTTTTGACTACCGCCACAGGATGGGAATATGGTGCATACACTAACCTCATATACTTCATGTTCACAATACAATATGTGAATACAAAGGAATTACCACTAGAAAACATTGGTCATAACATTGGTCATAACATTGGTCATAACATTGGTCATGACTTATTTACAATCTGTTCTATAAAACCGTTCATCTAGTTGTGATTCTGAGGTTCTAGATCTGATTCTGCAGTTCTAGTTCTAATTCAGAGGGCCTAGTTCTGATTCTGGGGTCCTAGTTCTGATTCTGGGGTAATGGTTCTGATTCTGGAGTCATGCTTTTGATTTTGGGGTTCTAGTTCTGATTCTGGAGTTCTGATGATAGAATTCTATTCCTGATTCTGGGGTTCTTCTGATTTTGGTGTTCTATTTCTAATTCTGGGGTTCAGGTTCTTATACTGGGATTATAGTTCTGATTCTGTGGTTCTAATTCTGATTAGAGATCTTAAATCCGATTCTGAAACTCTAGTTCTGATTCTTGGGTTCTAGTTCTGATTCTGGAATTCTAGCTCTCATTCAGGGATTCTAGTTCTGATTCTGGGGTTATAGTTCTGATTCTGGGGCTCTAGTTCAGATTCTGGAGTTTTAGTTCAGTTCTGGGGTTCTGAACCTTAGTTCTAGTTCCGATTCAGGAGTTCTAGTTTTGATTAGGGGGTCTTAGTTCCGATTCTGGCTGTCTAGTTTTGATTATTAATGTCCATAGTTCTGAATCTGAGGTTCTAGTTCTGATTCTGGGGTTCTAGTTCTGATTCAGTGATTCTAATTCTGATTCTAGGGTTCTAGTTCTGATTCTGGGGCTCTAGTTCAAATTCTGGGGTTTTAGTTCTGCTTCCGGGGTTCTGAATCTTGGGTTCTAGTTCAGATTCTGGAGTTCTAGTTCTGATTTTGAAGTTTTTATTCTGATTCTAGGGTTCTAGTTTTGATTCAGGGGTTTTTGTCCTGATTTTGTTGTAGTTATGATTCTAGGGTTCTAGTTCTGATTCTGGGATTTCAGTTCTGACTCTGGGGTTTTACTTCAGATTCTGGGGTTTTAGTTCTGCTTCTGGGGATCTAATTCTGATTCCGGGGTTCTAATTCAGATTCTGGGGTTCTAGTTCTGATTTTTGGTTTTTATTCTGATTCTGGGGTCCTAGTTCTGAATTTGGAGATTTAGTTCTGTTTCTGGTGTTCTGGGTTCCTAGTTCTGATTCTGGGGTTCTAGTTCTGGGATTCTAGTTTAGATTCTGAGGTTCTAGTTCTGATACTGAGGTAATAGTTCTGATTATGAGGCCCTAATTTTGATTCTCGAGTTGAAGTTTTGATTTTGAGGTTCTAGTCTGAGTTTGGGGTTCTGGTTTTGATTCTGTGGTTCTAGTTCTGATTTTGGAGTTCTAGTTCTGATTCTGTGGTTCTAGTTCTGGAGTCCTAGTTCTGGTGTTCTAGTTTTGATTCTGGAGTTCTAATGTTGATTCTATGTTCTAGTTCCGATTCTGGGGTTCTAGCTCTGATTCTGGGGCCCTAGTGTTGATTCTGAGGTTCATGTTCTGATTTTGGGGTTTTAGTTCTGATTCTGGGGTTCTAGTTCTGATTCTGAGATTCTGGTTCGTATTCTTGGGTCCTAGTTCTGATTCAGGGGTTATTGTTCTGATTCTGGGGTTTTAGTTTCTGATTCTGGGATTCTAGTTCTAATTCTAGGGTCCAAGTTTTGATTCCAGGGTCCAAGTTTGATTCCGGGGCCGTAGCTTGATTCTGGGATTCTAGTTTTGATTCTTGGGTTCTAATTTTGATTCTTGTGGTTTTAGTTTTGATTCTTGGGGTTATCCTCATTATATTATTATGTTATAGCACTTCCTTTGCTATCAATGTTTCCTATTTCTTACAAATTCTTTTTTATTTCGGTGGTGTATTGTGTCAGATGTTCTCTCGTAGTTCTTGAAGCTCGGGTCAACCCACCCATCTCTTGTATGAAGAAGATACATACACAACGTATGGGTAAACTTAGTGTGGGATTAAAGAAGTTCCTGTGTGCGGAACGACTCCTAAATCAAGGTTCCTTGTCCGGTGCATGAGTCTTATTTACCCAGTTTTCTGTACCAGTTACTTAGCGTAATTTACACCCTTCTCTTGTTTTGTTTGTTTCTCTATTATGTAATTCTGTCTGGTTTGTAAGGTGGGAATTATTCTCCCTAAATCAATCCTTTTCTCTCTAGGTGCTTCACGATCTTCTTGATAATTCTCTCTAAAAGTATGGACAGTATACACTACTATGATACCGGATGTATTCCTGTTAATATATTAAGACTACATTCATGGGTTTCCAATTGTCCAGTAACTACTACACTTCTAATAATATTTTACAGGTCTTTGGTTTTAACGTCTCACAGAGCTCTTGCTCCTTCCCTCGTAACCCATAGGAATATGTCGCTGTTATCATCCATCATTTGATGGATGCACTTCATGCAGTGGGCTCTGGTCTCTCTGTCTCTCACTCCCACCCCCATTCCTCTTCTCCTTTTCAGACATCTCCCATGATTATAATATGAAAACCTACGTCAGGTTTACTATTATCACTTACAAGGAAATAGATTGTGAGAATTCTGATCTTTCAAAACTGAATTTATAAGATGTGTTTTGCATATATACTAGCACTGAACTGAAAAACCATACAGCAGAAAGGTAAATTTTTATCTACGGTTTTATGGAAAGAGAAGGATAAAGATCAGATCAGATCGGACTCACAGGTAAGTACCCACGAGGGGCGAGGGGCAAGTGGGGACAGGACGAAGAATAGACGGGGAGAGGAATGTCTTGAGTCGAAGAGAGAAGAGTCAAAGGATAAAGGTGACATGGATTAGTCATAACTAAGATACTTGTATAAATACTGAACTTAATGCAGTGATACGACTTATTTGCTAATTCTGTGAGCTTTTAATAAGGCAATATGTCCAAGCTTTTTATATTCTGTTAATATAATCAGTATATATCACTACCTGATACAACTGTAACAAATATACTGGTATCAAGTCTTGAACAGTACATCGGATAGAAGCTGTAAAAATAGTTAAACAAGAGGGAACATAAAACTGTTGCGTCACGCATAAAATTACTGCTACAGAGAATAGAACCAAACAGTCATGTAAGGGAAGAGGATTTGCCTCTGGTCGCTGTCTTGACAGCTCTCCCTCAAGTTATCAGAGAGGAAAATCAACAATATCACAGTAGGGTACATTCCCTGGTATCCACGAATGGTTGATCGGATGGTGTTCGACCCGAGGAGATAGTGAAACCATCTTCAGATTGTCTTGTAAGAAAGAAAATTTTGTTAAAGATCTTTGCTGACTTGTTTAGAATTTGAAAGTGGGGGTACGGAAGAGAAATTCTAAGCAATTGTCAAGAAAGTTTAATTTCTTTTAGCTTTCGGACTTTGATCTGGAAGACATGAATGAAACAGGTTAGAATCGATAAGTCAGCAAAAACCGGTTCGTGGTCAGTGTTTTGCCTGGTGTGGAAAGGAGCGTGAGGGACACAGCACTGGCATAGTTCCCAGCACATGAGGTGCACCTAGCGACTGATGACTGTCTCTTTTTCATAGGTAACATCAGCATTATACCCTAAATCTGCACTGACATTGAAGATCATAATATTCATTACACTACACTAAAGACATCAAAACAGTACACCATGCTAAATTATACCAAACATCACACAACTGCATTACACCCATATCACTACAATACACCCCTCTCACTACAATACACCCCTATCACTACAATACACCCCTATCACTACAATACACCCCTCTCACTACAATACACCCCTATCACTACAATACACCCCTCTCACTACAATACACCCCTATCACTACAATACACCCCTCTCACTACAATACACCCCTATCACTACAATACACCCCTATCACTACAATACACCCCTCTCACTACAATACACCCCTATCACTACAATACACCCCTATCACTACAATACACCCCTATCACTACAATACACCCCTATCACTACAATACACCCCTATTACTACAATACATCCCTATCACTACAATACACCCCTATCACTACAATACATCCCTATCACTACAATACACCCCTATCACTACAATACACCCCTATCACTACAATACACCCTATCACTACAATACACCCCTATAACTACAATACACCCCATCACTACAATACACCCCTATCACTACAATACATCCCTATCACTACAATGCACCTTTATCACTACAATACACTCCTATTGCTACAATACATCCCTCTCACTACAATACATCCCTATCACTACAATATATAATGTACACCCCTATTACTACAATCCACCTTATCACTATAATGCTTCCCTGCCACTACAATACACTTTATCACTACAATGCTTCCCTGCCACTACAATACACCTTATCACTACAATGCTTCCCTGTCACTACAATACACCTTATCACTACACTGAAGGATGAGTCACGAAATCGTAGTGACACGATTGCAAACAAACCATATCATGGGCGGGACTGAACCAGCGGTTAGAGTTTTACTTTACGACTCTCTGACTGCGGGTTCAATCTCCACCCATGTTATGGTTTGTTTACACTGAAGGATACTGCCATCACTGCACTATACCAGCATCACCACCACACCAGCATCACCTTCTCTATGTTTACTACTATTAATACTACTATTATCACATTGCATTGCACTACCATCACTTCACATGTCCACCACCGCACTATAATTTCTGAACTACAGTCACTACATTACCTCACTACATTACCCCACCACCCCACACCACCAATAATATTATTCATCTTCACTACACAATACTACATTTTCACTTTGCAAGTCATTTTCATGACACAAACCTGTCCAATACGCTTAATTCCTCTATTCATCTTTACCTCATAACCCGGCTCACCTTCATAACTATAGTTATCACAAATCTTAACTAAACTCACTCACTTCAGAGCAGTAACTAGCTTCACTATATTAACTTAATGGCATATGTGGGGCTGTTCAGAAAGCTGTCTCTTACATTTATCTAAAAATCTACGATTAGACTTTGACTAACTGTTGTTCTTATTCATTATGGATTCCGAGAATCAGTTTGAATACCTCAAGTATGACCGCTTTGAAGCTCGCTACTTGAGAGGAAAAATGGAATACCTGGGAGGAGGGATGACAGGTGATGCCTACCTCATCGAGCCTAAACACACCTGTGGGACTCAATATGTAGTTAAACTGGGCAAGTCCGATTTTCAACTTCAGAAATACAAGTCAGAGGCTTCCAGACTGCGATATCTGTCTGGAGCTGGAGGGTGTCCTCGCCTGGTAGCAGTGTGTAAGGATGTCCCAGCCTTCGTAACCACCTTTGAATGTAAACACACTCTTGAAAACTTTTTAGCCAACTGTGGAGCCAGGGAAGCAATGGAAGTTTTCTTGAAGTTGGCATTGGCTGTGAAAGAAGTTCATGACAAAGGATACATACATAACGATATCAAACCTGATAACATCATTGTTTCAGGATCCTTCGGTAATTATAGAGTATCTATAATTGATTTTGGAAGAGCTAGACGAGATGGGGAAGTAATTGAGACTTTTGCTTCTCCTGATCCTGAACGATTCCCACATGCAGCTCCTGAAGTGGCCGATGGACAACCTTGTACACCACCTGCCGATGTCTATGCAATGGGCAAAATGTACATGGATATTAGAACAAAATTTGATGAAGTCCCCCAGGAACTTGAAACGCTAGCAGAGCAGGCCAGGCAAAGTGACCCTATGAAACGCCCTTCCCTCTTGGACATCATTGCTCAAATCCAAAACATTATCAAATGTTTGAAGCCCTCCAAGAGAGAAGTCCCTGGCCAAACCAAGACCAAATTCTGGACAGAAGTTCCTGGCCAGGCTAAGACAAAGTTCTGGACAGAGGTCCCTGGCCAGAACAAGACAAAGAAGACCCACAGTGCTGTCTCCAACCATATCAAACCAGTTAGCATGGTAGCAGAAGCAAGGCGGTCTGCAGCCGAGAAGAGTCGTGCCAGAGCCAGAGCATGGAAAAGGGCCGGAGGTTCCAAAAAATGAACATCTAGTAGGTGTAGGATTTAAAAAAAAAAAAAAAAAAAAAAAAAAAAAAAAAAAAAAAAAAAAAGGAACTCGAAGAGCAGCCACCTCCACGTGGTGAGTTCTGGGTGTTATGTGTGACTATAAATAATTAATCAGTCATGCAAAATAGCTGAGTGCTGCTCACTTTACCTATATTACATATCTGAGACAATAGAATTCTTCCACCGTAAGCCATGCATGTCGTAAGAGGCGACCAGTGTGCTGGAAACAAAGGGCTAGTAACCTTTTTTCCTGTATACATTACTAAATTTTTCTTTTTGGGCCACCCTGCCTCGGTGGGATACAGCCGGTTTGTTGATATATGCATACATACTTACATATATATATATAATATATATATATATATATAATATATATATATATATATATATAATATAATATATATATATATATATATATATATATATTACAATAAACCATATATGTAAATATATGGTGCAGTGTTATGATAGTGCTTTAACTCAATATAGTGTCCGTGGTATTGTCAGATGATGTTGTGTAGTGATGTTGGTTTAATGTAGTGATAGTAGTGTAATTTAGAGATGGTGGTAAAGCATGGTAGTGGTAGTGTTGCAATGGTAGTGAAGCTTAGTGATGATAGTGTTTTCTACCTGATATTTATGATGATGTAATACATTAATGGTAGTGTATCATCCAATAATGACCAAGGAGATGCTCCGAGGTGGTGCTCCAGGTGGTGCTCCAGGTGGTGCTCCAGCATAACTCTCATACCCAGCTTCTTTCTGGATGCAACGAACGCTTATAGTTCTTTTGAGAACTATGATATTCTTTTTGTTGTGTTTCTTCATGTTGTCCAAGGAAATCAGGTTCATCCTTCATAATTATTGAAGAAAAAGCTTGCAGTTGTGACTCCTGCTATGTTCTTGGAACATAGTGTATGCCCTGTCACTTTAGTGCATCAAGCAGGTCTCGGCAAACATAATGTGTCGCGGTGGTTCTAGTAGAAATGTTGATCAGTTTGATTTTATTCATCCCAAAACGGGTTTGTCCACCTTTTTGTTATCATTTCCAAAATAACTGCTCAGAACTTTCATCTTTAAACCTTCGTAAAGCAGTTAAATCACGATCTTGTACTCCAAACCAACCTATATCTTTTAGATTTCTCTCATTATTTAAATATGTTTGAAGATACTCAACGAAGATATAGTAACGGCTCACATAACATGTGGGACATGCACTTTTGATCATTCCAAAAAAATGCCGCAAGCACTTGACAACTTATTTCACCCCGAAATGTGTCACTGACATATACTGTCAGTCACAAAATCAAAGGTGACAAAATACAGATCACCCAGACAAAACCTCTCCAGAGAAGGAGATCTTTTGTTGCCAGAAAGGAAAATAAAAATGGTAAGAAATGACAAATCCTACACCAACCGAAAACACTTCTGGAGTGGAGGGGCAGTCATTGGCCTCCACTCTGGAACAACAGATATTAATGCCAGCAAAGAAGCCCCATTAAATTCCATCAATATAACGACATTTATCTTTTCAAACATACAGGGGTCCAAAGCCATCAACAAACAACAAAATATCTTACATCAAGGGACTGCTCACGGAGTCAAATATGGAACACTGGTTATAACCTATTCAGATGCGACAGACTTAACAGACAACAAGGGGAGGCTTGGCCTGTATACATTAAAAAATCGCTCATTTCCTCAGAACTACTAAACACTTCAAATAATGTAGTTGAAGTTTTGGCATTAAAGATCGAAAACCAAAACCTTGTCATTGTGGTTGTACACGAGCCTTCGAATGCAACTTCCCAGCAATTCTAGGAACAGCTTTTGGAAGTTGACCACTGTTTGGAAAACCTTCTAACTCCTGCCTCAAACATCTTGCTACTAGGGGATTTCAGTCTGAAGCAACTAAAATGGAGGAGTGTAGCAGATAATGTTTCAGAAGAGGCAGCTGAGATGAAAATTCATACACACATGAGCTATTAAATCTCTGCACCAAATTCAACTTAAACCAGCAAAAATAAAGCCTACAAGACTAGAAAATACACTGGACCTCATCTTCACTAACAACGACGATCTGATACATATTATACGAGTATCAAAGACACTCAGAGGTACAAACATATATGCACAGGGCTCCTGACCAGCAAGATGTGATCAGTTATGAGGATGCCTTCATAAAATTCAACTTCAATAACAAAAACATACCCTGGGAACAAGTCAACAACGTCTTAAATGAAACAAGCTGAGAAGATATTCTAAACAACACGGATCCGATCCTTTGCCTACAAAGAATTAACTCTGTGGCACGTGAGGTATTCTCAAGGCACATTCCTTTTAGAAAAAGAAATAAAAGATGTAAACTAGAAAGAGGGAAACGCTTCCTATACATGCAAAGGCGAAGAATCACAGAACTGCTGACAGGAACCAGTATATCTGAAATATGAAGGGAAGCACTGGTCAGATAAATAGCAAATATCGAACTTAAGCTTAGGGAATCTTACAGGAAACAAGAATCTCAGGAAGAACTTAAAGCCAT